TTGTACAGTTATGCAATATCAACAGTAAGCGATTTAACATTTAACAAAGAAATGACACATATATATGTTACATACACGTAAAATTGCATTAAGATTTTGAGGTTATAGTCGTTCAAAGTAAGAGAGTAGTTGCCATTTGGTCTTCCCTTGATTTTTCTCTTCACCAGTTTTGCTATTACTTCCAATCGTCGGGCCTGCTTTCGTCCGACCATATTCTACAAAAAAACTGATGCATGGACCACGTCAGTCTCTCGCCACCATATTTGACTCGCTTGGCACTCATCTCATTGTTGTTCTTTAGGCGGGCAATTGCTGTTCTAACCTCGGCATTTTCGTTCCATTTCTTTTCCATCCTCATCGTTTGGGAAATCGTCTTCGCCATCCCCTAGCGCTTGATTTTCACTGCACTTCAGTAGGCTGAAGCAGAGTTTCCTCAATAAATTCAGTATTTTCTGGGCATCGAGCGCCAGAACATGTTCTTGGGACCTACAAGAGTAAGCTCTTCTGTTTGAAGAATTTTCCCTTATCGCCCAACTGTTCAAGCTGTTCATATTTATGCTTTTCGACCGGACTTATAGGTTTGATCTCTCTTGATCTCTCGATCCAAAAGGCATACCATTGATTCCTTCATTTGTTAAAATCTTTGAATCGAGTCCCTTTTAAGTGCATTCCACCCTCTAGTTAGTCTCTACGTTCATACAACCAGAAGCATAAAAATATGTTGCCGCCTCCATTAAAGCGAAGCTCTCAGTATTAGACACACCGTATTCTTTATTTTCTTTCATCATTTCTGTTATTTGTTATTTCGGTTTTTGTGAGATCAGGAATCGCAATCTTCCAGTGGTGATCCAGCTTCTCCTCAACTGAACACTATGGATCTAAACCCGGAGAGTGTCGAAAATACCATATCTTTTTAATTTAGGGTAACACGCGATTGTGTGCCCATTGGATGGTTTGCAATCAAGACCGTCCAACTGTATTTGAACGGAGTCTTCTGAATGCCGATCGCCTCCGGGAGTAGTTGCGATTGTTGCGGTACGGCGCTCTACCGTAGTCGACCACTCCTTTCCTCATTTCCCTTTTTCCGGCCACCGAAAGGTCTCCACTCAGTAGGTGACCAAAAAATCAGATGTGTTTAGGCTCTTAGTCTAATCTTATGCGTCGGGAACATGCTTCCTTGTGGAGTAGGCGATGGGCGTCTGCGTAGCGTCGGATGTCACCTATAGCATTGGGTAAAGACCATTTTTTTTTTTTGGAAACGCGCCTAGAAGGTAGAATGTATTCAGGTGAACACTAGGGTGATAATAAAAATTGTGCTTAACCCACTGGTATTAATCTACCTGAGCACCTCTATCCGCCAAACCGCATCGACGAAGCTGATTAGGATTTCATGGCCTTCTAAACCTCTTCGATTTTCGGAACTCCATGGATGGCATACCTACACCCCTTGAAGGTAAGCCGTCTTAAGCTGAGTAAGCCGTAAAAGCATCCTTCCCTTAAGGGAAATGCTAAGCCAACAGGAAACCGATTCCCAGGAAGCTTGTCTCAATGAGTGCATCACAGGTGAAGGTGGCTAGTGGCGAACCCTGCACGGATAAAGCAGTCAACAATTCTATGCATGCCACCACTCTCTGCAGGTGTAGTGACTCTGATCATGGTTCTTACCGTTCTGCAACTCCTCCTCCATTAGGGCATTTAGGTTTAGGCGAGCAGGTCTAAAAATGTTGGAGAAATTTGGTGCCATTCCAGCCGACAAATCAACGGAGAAAAGACTATTCTCAATTAGGCTAAGGAATCCAATGCAATCATACCGTCACAAAAGTTGCAATGAGATACAGAGAAATTTTAAAGAAAATCGCGACTTGTTACGAAACGTCCCAGGAAACTGTGGAGCGTGGTAGAACGTGGAACCGAACTCTATCCGCGGCAAAGTATCTGCCTAGTCATCACCAGAAGTGTCAACAGAGAGAATTCATCTGCAATGTGACCAGACAAATCAAATTTGATCGAAGCGAACGGAACTAGGAACTAAAGATGAGCTCCATAAGTATAACTGCCGACGTAATAACCCGACGCCATCTAATGAGGGCTCATGGTAGAAGGATGGGTCGCTTCTCCAATGGCTTTTGCAGCGACTGCACTCTTTGATATTGTCTCAGCTTGTAGAAAGTTTTATTCATCCATTATCTCTGTGTATCTTAAGCTCTCTTTATCTCCTACTAATCTTTGAAATTATGCTGCTCGATCTTTGGTTAGAGGCTATATTTTGGCTTTTTAACTTTCGGGGAAGAACTTTCGATATAGAGAACTCTCTTTCTGTTGTTTCGCTGTCGAGGAGCTTGCTGATTACTCCGTTTAAAGTGTGTGAAACAGACTAGTTCCACTCCAACGAACCCTTCAGCCCTTTACTGCTGCGTATCGATACGAAGAAATAAATATTTGCACAACTGAAAATTCTCGACATTTATTAGCAAACTAAATCACACAGCACTCAGTGCAACTGGATGCAAACGCAAACAAACAAACAACCAAAAGTTCATGTTCCCAATGCAGATCATACCAGAAATTGATAATTATGAAAATGATGGAACAGTGAAGTTGTGCGCCCAGCAAGCGCAAGCAAACTGTCTGTGACGGCAGCTCCGACAGCAGGTGTGAAAGCCAATACTTACACAACCACACACATGTTTATTTGTTTTACCGCCTCTTACCTTTCCGCAATGGACCAACCAGTGGACGGCCAGTGGTCATTTGTCATTTGTGTTGCCTCAAAAAGCCTAAAGGCATGCCATTCCGGCTCAGTGGGCTCCGTTGACTGCAGCCATCAGCAGAGCACAGTGTTGGGCGTTGTGTTAATTGATTTTCCGTGAAATGCACTGTTGCACTTTCCTCGGTTACTTCAGGCAGAATCGGAAACTGAGGATAACCACTTACGGAGTTTGTCGTTGTCACGGGTGCGAGGTATGGGAATGAGCGTGTACATGGCTATTTGAATGTGTATATGTGTGTGTGCATGTGGCTTTTCGTTGTTGCAATGTGGGATCTGATTATTATTATTATTATTATTATTATTATTGTGGATTAATTTAAGCCGATTTGAGTGTTGGGACGTGACACAGAATTCTCTCGTCTGCATTCCTTCATCCTTAAATATTTTTATATGTAGATATTATAAGCACATGAATGTTGGAATGTGTGTTTTTAGCCTGTGGATGACCGAGTCGGGCTCTATTATTGCAGGTAGGTATGTAATTCACAACAATTTTAAGTTATTGAATTCGAGTGAATTCGAAAAATATGAGAATTTAATTGATTTTCCTTATTATGAGGTCACAGTAAACTCGAGATTAATTGAAGAGATTTTTATTTTTGTCTTTAACTTGCTGTGATGCAAGTAAGTTTTTCATAGTTTCACTTTAGTTAGCTCGCGACTTCCGGTTTTAGACCAAGTATCCTCTGGATAGCCAACAAAAATCCGTTTAGAGGCGAGTTAAAGTGGGAAGGCGAGTCCCACTGCGGTTGTGCGTGGAGTTTGGGATCCACTAGCTGTAAAATATAAACCAATAACATTAAACAAAGCCTCCGATGAGATACTTCACTTCTGATGACAACCCCCGCAAACGGTTTGAGAGCATGCACCTGGAATGTTCGATCCAATACTTGAATGTCCTAATAAAATTAAAAGCTGACCTCACGCCGTCCAAGAAGTACAATAAATGGTACAAGATCGGAGACGGTATTATGGTATTTACTGCAGTGGCCATGTAAAGGGCCATGCTTTTTTATCGGCGTGAGAACGTTTAGCTGCAAACCGCATCAAAGCGAAATTTTTCAAAATGTCGCTGATTTGTCGCCACTCTCCGTCGGAAGAGTAGGACAATCTGACCAAAGACGCTTTCTATGAGCGCCTAGAATGCACTTATGAGCATTGCCCCGTTTCGAAGTGCGTATTTTTTGGCACAGCAGCCGGGAAATAGATTGTCTTTGGCACCACATTTCCGCTCAACAAAAACCATTAATGGGTCCATAGGTGTCGGAGGATGGAAAATTGTACAATCATGTTGTGATTTATGTATATCCTGTATCCAATGTTCTTGTCGTGAGTACACTCCGAGGACGCAACAACGACTCGGTTCATCATTTTGTCACAACAAGGATGTGCACCCGCCTCTGAAACACAAGAAAAGTTCAAAGTTGAAAATCTGCAATCATAACTACAATCCTGCTCTCTAAGAGCACTCATCTGCAACTTGGTATTAGGGAAATGTGGAACGTCATTTGGAGCTCCTTACGTACAGCTGCAAACGAAACTATTTTATTTCGATAAGGACGCAAAAATCGCTGGTACGATGAGGATTACCGCGATGCATGGGAAAGAGAGCATGCAGTCGTCTACAACGCAACACTGCGATCGACCGCTATATGTGCTAGAGGAAATATATACCGAGAGCTGAAGAGCAAAGCAAGACCGCGCCATTAATCTTGCCTTCTCCAAGCTTGATAAAAAAGTGAAGCGAATGAAGTTCACTACGAGGACAAGACAGAGTAACACCAGTAGTCAATGATATAGAAGCGTAGATGCCGACATTCAATGAGTCGAAACAGAGAGTTTTCGTGAGAAACGTTTGGAGACCGTTTATGTTTCATTGTAGTGTCCACTGATGGAGAAAGAAGAAAAAGAAAACTTTCACTTCGCTGTCAATGAACGGATACGAGAGAGCGAAGCCAGGTATATGACTCTCGCTCCATCCGAACGAGAGGCTGAAGACAGGCTAGAGTAAGAGTAATACGTCTAGTGAGAAGCGCTACAACCCAGAAACCCTCCCATGAGACTAAGGCCAATCTATATGAGTTTTGTATTCTGGCGGGCCTTTGCTATCATCGGGATAGAGAGCTGGCGTGGGTCTTTGACTGTGTCAAAGTGATTGGGTTCGGCTATTGTTCTATGAACTACCTTGAACTTTTATGCCATTATCCCTTTGCTGCCTTTTAAGTCATAAAATTTTTAATTTTATTTTGGTGATGAAGTTTGCATAAATTCCAAGCAGCGCATGATATATGTAAAAATTTCAAGTTGGTATTGAAGAAGAAAAGGACTATTTAATAATAAAAAAGCAGATCATAAAATAAAACCAATAAAGGACGACACAAGAGAAAAATTAATATATTTTTTTAAATATCTACGGCAAATCCCCGGAAAATGTTTCGACTACATTATGCCGTTAAAGTTTTGATCCGGTCGCACCGTCTACCAAATCCTTTAACAACGGTGTTGCGAGTGATCTCAACCACAGCGCCAAAACCAAACTTTGGTAGTCTCGAATTGCCATGGGCCACCAACGAGGTGTTGCATACTATCGAGAAGACGGAAGATCGAGCTGTGGTAAACGGCAGTGGGGCAGGCAAAAGTGATAATAATGGTAGTGACGAGAAGAGTAGTAAAGGGAATGATGAGCTGCCGAAATTGCCTGTCAGTGACGAGAAGAAGCTGCCAGATGTTACTATTGTTGACATCAATGGCGGTTATGGACGCATGGACTTTGAAGATCGCATGGAACATATGGATCGTTCGGATCGCATAAACGAGGCGAAGCAGTCGAACAATGCTTGCGGAGAATCAGTAATACCAATAATAAGAACAATGCCGAGAGTTGACAATATCGATGGTTATGGTGACGATATGATGTACGAAGATAAGGCAGAATGGGAATTGGCGAGTAAGCCAGAGGTGAAGCAAGAGAAAGAAACTGACAGCAACAGTAAAACTACCGATCTCACTGCAGCGAATACAGAGACTACAGCAGTGAGTGATGTGGCGTATAATAAGAGCAGTGACACAGAGCTGCCTCCGAAACAAAGATTGCATGCGAATCGCTCTGATGAAGTTGCTGAGATCGCTGTTTTGACGCACCCCACATCTGAAGCGACAGCTGCAACCGCTAGCAGTAACAAAGAAGTGGAAATAATTTGTGAGGCGCCCGTGGACATTGATGCCTTCGCCAATGAGCAAGAGTCGAAGCAAGGTACCGTCGATATCAATGCTTATGAAGACGATGAGCGTTTCAAATTGCCACAAATACCTAAAGTACGCAATAATGTTTTCGTATTTCGTGGCATTAAGATCATTATGCCTAAGCGCATGCTACGCGACGCCACCTATCGTTATCGGTTGGATCCCAGTGATAAAGACAAGCCGGATGATATGCAAATCTGTGTTTTTGAGAAGTTAACAAGACGAACCCAATGTGACTGACATTTTATGATTTCTTTTTGATTTTCTTTATATCATATAATTGTATTCTTCGAGAAATTTCGCAAAACTAAATATACATATATATGTATATATGTATAACAACTTATAAAACTACAAATATCACTGGCAAAATCGTATGTAATTTCAGGTACGTTGCTTTTTTTTTGTCGATTGTGCGCTAGTTCCTGCCTGTTTGCGCTTGCCCTTGCTACTTTCCTTCTTCGGACTCTTGGCTTCTTTTACTTCACGGTTCACCTTATATGCTGCCGTCATACGTTTGATATTTTCCTTATGCACAATCTCGTGTTTAACTATACGATGTGGATAGTCTTTACCCAACACACAACCATATTCGCGTTGTGCACTCAATGCGGCCTTCCAGGGTTCATAAATGCAACCCGCTGGGTATTTAGCAAGTTCCGGTACATATTTACGTATGTACGCGCCAGTAGGATCAGTTTTCTTACCAAAGGCCACGGGGCTGTAGACACGAAAGTATTGATAGAAGAATGCTGACGCTGAAAGCCACATCCAATTGCCCGCATTCAAGGCCCAATCTTGATCGAGCAACAATTCTTCAAATACTTTTTGGCCCTCCTCCCATGAAATCCATAAATCACCACGGGTTAGAAAGCAAGCAACTGCATGGCGTGCCAAATGATGTATCCAACCTTCTTGCCGCAGTTGACGCATTATAGCATCGATAAAGGGATAACCTGTGCGTCCGTGCGTCCAAGCTGTTAGGTGTTCTTCATTGATTTCCCATGGTATTTGCATGCAGAATTTATTACCCAGCATGCGATCGAAATTTGTTTCCGAAGCAGCGGCCGTGTAGTAAAACTCCCGCCATAGCAGCTGTCCGTGCAGCGAGACTGGTGGCTTGGAATGTTTCGGGTGTCGTTTTAATATGTCCATTAAACGCTGATGAAATAAACGTGCACTTAGGCAACCAAATTTTAGGTATGGACTGAGCACAGTAGTGCTGGGATCGAGCGAATTTGGTGCGGTATTCGGTTTTTCGAATGCAGCAACCCAAGACTCATCGCTGAGCGCAGCATTCATTCGACGCAATGCCTCAGTTTCACCTGCACATTTAAATTGAAAGCAAATATGAAAACATTAAATAAATTTAAATGAAATAAAATACCTACCACCAGGAAATTTATTCGCACCCAACTCTTCCGGTCGTTTAACGAGTTCATCTATGGTTGGGCATGCATAACAATTAGCATTTTCCAGTTCCAATGCATCTTTTGGCGGTGGTTGAACATCAATCAAACTATCCAGCTTTCCTAACGCTGGTGGCACTTTTATTTTCTCGATAACACTTAAAAATTTCTGATAAGTCAACGGTGCACTGCCGCCGTTTCGTTGTATCACCAACTCTGGATTGTAAATTGTATGAGTGCAAAATGTTTCCACTTTTACGCCAGCTTCCTTTGCTAAACGCTGCACATCTGCATCACGTTTTAAGGCATACGGTTCAATATCTGTCTCGTATGTCAACAAGCTCACACGCCAATCTTTAATGATGCGTGAAAATACTGCTGCTGGTGTACCGCGCACCACATAGAGTTGAGTATTAACTTTACGTAAATTTGCGTCCAAATCTACAAGTGTTTGTTGTAGGAAACGCCAGCGATTCGCGCCAACTCGTAGCCACTGTATTAAAGCAGCGTCGAGTATGAAAATCGGTCGCACATAGTATTTTGTCGGTTCACTGTTTGCTTTGGTGATGATCAAATTAAGTGCTGGATTATCATGCACACGTAATCCTTTACGGAACCAATGTATCAAGGTAGTTTTGGTATCCATATGTCATTGATGGTGATGAAATTCGAATTTGAAAACTATTTTGTACAGAAGAATGCAATTTTAATGCACTTTAGCTCATAACAACGAACAGCTGGTTCTTACGGGTAACAGCTGTGTAGAATTCGTTACACTATTATGTTTGGCAACACTTTTCTTGGAAGAGGGATGATTTTGCCGCTGAATTTTACAGAATTATAGAATTGTAACAATCACAATGAGAAATGTTTATCATATTTGGGCACATATTGTTTGTTGCTATGAAAATTACTTTCTTTGCATTAAATAATTACCTTAAAAACTTTGTCAGCGGCACAGAGCTGATTTCAAAATCATAAATTATGTCATTTCCATTTGTCCCGCTTTTGGGTGCTGCAACACTGTTCGCGGCGCATGTTTTTCGTATTTGCTTTCAACCAGCATTCGTGAACTTCCAATCAGCTTGCATCTTGACGTTTGCCTATTCAATTTGACAATTCTACATTTTTTAATTTCTTATTTGTTTATAAAATCATTTTCGTGAAACGGCTTGGCAGTTGATTCTTTTGTGCAGTGTTCTTATTCTCGCAGCTCATATTACAACCGAAAAATTACAGTTTACACCGTTTTCAGTCCAAATAATACGGGAAAAATAAAAGATTTACGAAACAACGCTAAACGGTTTATAAAGCGCGAAAGAAAGGTGTCTTAATGTTTCCTTGTATCTGTGAAATGTTGCAGCGGTTTGCAAAAGTGTAGTGAAAGCCAAGACAAGCGAGTGAGCCAAACGTGCCAAAGGGAAACAAAGCACTAAAAAAAATTGTAATCGAAACCAGGCAATGTTTGAAAATACGCTATATTAAATGAAACAAAAAAATAATAATTTGCATTAATCTACCAAGCGTTTATAATGTGCATGCAAAAAATATGCGTTTCAATTTGCAATTAGCCTATTTGGGCCTGTTATCGGTGACGTGTATTTCGAGGTAAGCAGCATCTGTCATGCTGACCACACAAATAGTTTTACATATCAGCCTTTGTCATGTTTTTGCACATACATATGTATCTCCATAAATCACAACAAAATCTTTATGCACAAAACTAATTCTAAACTTTTTTCATTACAGTTGCTTGCTCTTCTTTGTGCTACTCACAGAGAATACTAAATATGTAGCTGCTTGTAGTGACGAGAACACGGTTTTACCTGCACAAATTGATGCAGCTGCCAATGAGAATGCTAATGCGCCAGTGACGCCTGTTACCAAGGCACATGAAGATATCTTACCGAATTATAAAAAAGTGAAAAAATTAATAAATAATGATGGTGAAGAATCAATTCCAGTCATTGCTAATGAATTGGATAATTTCCAAATTATCGACGAAAACAAAGCAACGGAATCAGCTGAAAGCTTGTTGCTGCCCAATGTTGTTGTTGAGCGTGCTACTGCAGGTGCAGGTGCCAGTGTTGTTGATGCAAATGTGTTAATAAATGCAGAAAATATTGTAGTTGTAAATGAAGTGACCGAACAAAAAAAACAAGATGAAAATGTAGAAAACATAGCAATTGCAACTGAGGTGCCGGCAACAGAGCACAGCGATGATTTGCAAAATGTGAATACACAAGATAACATGCCAGAAGGGTAAGTAATTTCACAATGTTTAAAGATATACATATGTATGTACATCGTGCTGTTTATAACTAACTTTCACGTAATATTTGAATACAAAAGTGTTATAAAAATATGTTAAATGTTTTTTTTAGACAATCACAGACACTTCATTTTTAAAATAAATTTATATATATATATAAATTTATACATATACTAATTTAAATATATTTTTCCTATATTTTGCATTCGTAAATTGCGTTAAAGCGCAGATTTATTCGACCTTTTTGAGTTTCTAGAACTTAATAAACTAAAGAGAATTTTATAAATTAGCACAGCCAACGCTAGTCTAGTGTTATATAATATTGTCGAATTATTCATTTAGGCGTGCTAAACGTTTTGAATATCACTATTATGATACCTAAAGGCATGTGGTTAAATATATAAATGATATTATTGCTTGTTTATATTATATTATTAATTGAAGACTTTATTGTGGTTGCGACGTGATCGGCATATTGACGCCTGCAAGTTACACAATAATTATGCGCAAATAAATAAATATTCCAATTATTCTATTTTTGTAGAATACGCAAAGTTTATTTATATACATACATACTTATATACTAATGTCTAAATGTAAATATATAAATTGTGTATTCGCGAATAAAACTACATTCAGGAAGCTCATATATAATAACTACAAAAAGAGCTCAAATATACAACAATTGCCAGTTCTAGTAGCTCTAGTTACACACGCAGTCGTTTGTAGCGCTCTCTTAATGACTTAACAACAGAAATATGTATGCAAGTATGTATGTATTTAAATGTACTCGTAATAAATATGAATGGTGTCTGGCAAACGACAGCACGCATTGTGAACTTCAGCTGATAAAATGCGGTGCAAAAGTATAAATACATTTGTACGTACATTCGTACATATTATATATACCATTTACCCTTATGTGGACTTTACTACACATTTGTACATAAAAATTTTAATTAGTTAATAACGCATATACATACATATATGCATACATAGGTACCTAACGAGAGATGTTTACAAACAAAAAAAACAAAAAGCAGAAGCGCATTAGCAAATTGTTTTCATACACATTTTAAAAATATATTTCTCTTAGTTATTATATAATTCTTTCATTTTTATTTTACAAAAAACTTGTTTTTTTGCGCGGCATCTTTTGTTGTAAGCACTTAAGTACAATTTGTGGACACAACAACATAAGCACACACTCCTACAATAGTAGTGCCTTCTCACGTCTTTTCAATTATCGACTGTTTCCTGATGTGGTATTTCGTACAAAAAAAAATTATTGAAAAAAATTCAAAAGTAGATGAAATATTAAACATGACATGCAAAATTCGGCATATGTATGAGAGAAGGCGCGCAAAAACCAGGAAAATTGCAATAAGGAAAATATTATAATTAGCTATTGGTGTTATTTTAATGTGCAGCAGAAAATCGACAATATATATAGGCTGTCGCAGTTCATTGGTGGTGGTTAATGCATTTTGGTGAAAAATTTTACATTTTCTTTGCATATAATTTTGAATGTATATATATAGCAATGACAGCAAAATGCAGACAAATTTCAGGAATTTACAAAATGTGTAGTATTTTTATAATTTAGACATTAAAATATGTCATTAAAATTTTTTACATACATATATGTAATAAGCTAAATTACTTAGTTAAAGGAAAATTTATAAAAATGTGTACCCCTTTTGTTGAACGATAGTTTTAAGATAGACAATTTTTTCGTTAAATATTTATGCCAACTTCATTGATGCTACCAATATTTCTAATTAATAAAGCAGTACATAAAAATTGTCCAAACGAATAAATAATGATTACTTTTTTATTGTTGTTTCCCTTGAATTCACCAATTTGATCATTCTAATTCAATGTGTGAAATTCCACATTAGTTCGTAATTTCGCTGAACTTTATTTTCATTAGTCTATTTATATGGCTGATGACATACGACGCTTAATTATGTAAATCAAATTAATTTGTTGGTAACAACACCATATTATAATTAAAAAATATACGGGGAATTACTAAATACCCGCTCCTACAAACAAGGCACGATGTTTACAACGCAATTTAATCCATTTTATCAGGAACATTATTTATGTTATTTAACATCTCGTGATATTTGTTATTTTAGTTTCTGTCATTTCCCCTGATATTAATTGTGCCTATTTTCTCTATAATTTTTACTCCCACTGTATAAACTATTTATTAGAATTGCTATTAAAATCCATTTTTATTCCATTGAATTTATTTCAACCAATTTTGTTCTTCTAACCGCTGTCATTGAGTGACCCACTCGTTGAAAATTGAAATGTAACGAACAAAAACAACACATAGCATAACTTCCTGTTACTAGCTGTTCTTCTTATAATCAGTTGTTGTTATTATTTAAAAATTCGTCTGGTTATCGATAACGTGAACGTGAGGCGTAGTTTATATTCGTTCATTTTTAATAATTCTTATCTTTAATATTTGATTTAATATGCTAGGCATACATGTTCAACATATGTTTGTACAAATTCACATGCGTACTTATCGATATGTACATAAATTTGTGCGTATGTATATGCATGTGTATGCATGTGTTTGTGTACATTCTAAAACTAAAGTTGTTATGTTCAAAATTTTATTTAGTTAAGCCTTAACTCGATGGTGTTCACAATGCTTGCCTGGGCAAAAAATAACAGTTGTTGTCAAGCACTACTACACATTTGCTACTATTTGGTTTATTTGTCTCACTATCATCTAAATACACCCATTTTTTTGAGCAAATATAAATACATATGTACATACATACCATACATATAATAGATAAAATTTTATGGGCTTCTTATCACTTTATCACAACGCCGGCGATATTTATTCAAGTTGATTAAATAGTTTTAAAATTCTAAAATGTTTTGTAAACAACGCACAACGCACTTATCATTGTGCACCTCCGAATTTTAATATTCTGTGCACTCATTTATGCAATGAATGCCATATTGTAGCACTAGAACTGCTATTTTGATTCTTTTGAACTCACTCCATGGTTCAATTGTTAAATTACATATAAATTTTTAGACAGTCTACCTAAAAACCATTTAAAGTAAATTTTTTGTTGTTGTTCTAGCGCTATCACCTATTCATAAAGCCACCTTGTTTGCAGTATTAAGTTCAAGGTTGCCACATTTGACTTTCACGTCTAAGTTTTTTTTTGTTTGTTTTTTTTTTCACAAATCAACGAGTAAATGACTATTTTGACCATACGAAGGTCGCCGCTGTCAACAGAAAAGTGCTTGAAGTGTTCCTTATTGATTTTGTTAAATATTGCAAACAAACAAGATGCTACGTACACATGTATGTATGTATGAAAAAATGTATTTGGCAAAATAAACTTAAAAGAATATATAACGAACGCGGAAAGTTCCTTGTGGTTGCTGTTTCTTGCAAAATTTTGTGTGCGCGTGTCTTGTGCGTCAATACAGCGAAATTTCTGTTTAAATAAAAAGCATATTGCATTGTTTACTTTATTACTAAGAAGCAGAAGATTACTTTATTTTTTACTCTTTTTGTGCTTTTTTTAAAGAAAATTTCAAATTTTTTTTTTATTTTCTACTCAATCTAACAAAAAAAAATTACAATTATGTTAAAATTTTATAAATACAGCAAATAAGTATAAAAAATATGCGCTATTTATTATATATATTTTTAGTGGTTTAAGGTGTAGGCACGTCTTTCGGCTACTTTGTTTTATTTTATTATCTTTGTTAAAATTGTAATAAAAACGAACGTGCGAAATGCTATTTCCCAACAGCACTCTGTGGTCCAATATTATTTATCGATATTTCGGCTGAATGCTCGATAATCTAATTTTCTTATCCTCACCATTACGTTGCATAAATTTCTTGCCAGTTGTAAAATTAGATATAAAATTGTTGAAACTTTTTCAATATCCAGGAACAGATGCCCCTGAGTGCTTAAGCACCATTTCTCCGGGTGCAGTTCATTGGCCAATCGTTTTTTTTTTTTGTGCAAGCATAAACGTATTTAGTTATTAGCAATCTGCGCAAGCAATCATTCAACATCTTCCCACACCATGTCGCCCATTTGAAAAACAATTAACATTTCTACCTAGTGAAATTAGTTTTTTTTTTCTGTATTGCACAAAATTTAGAAAATTGAAAGCAAAATCGCCTAAATGCGCGCGCATGTCCATAACAATTTATCAGTCTGCCACTTGACCAACGACGCCTGCAATTACCCAACGTTGTTGCACATTTAAATGTAATTTTTTATGACAACGAAATTAAAATGGTGAAAATAAAATTTTCTTTTTATCAAAAAGAAGTGCATATGCATATATGTATGTATATGAAAAATTCATAACAACCAACAAATAAATTTCAAATAAAAAGTGCAAAAAAGTCAGCAACTGCTTAGCATGAAATGAATTGAAATTGCTGAAATGCCCCCGCATCGATAGTACAACGCATACGTGTATGTGGCATTTACAACAACAAACAATGTTGCGGTGTTTTCCTTTAACTGCGAAGGTGGCTGTGGTGGTGGCGCTGAGCGAATTTAATCGCGCACCATTTTCACCCCTTAGGGATAAATGCATAATTTTTGCAACCAAAGTTGTTTATTTTTTTCACTTTTTTCTCGCATAAACAATATATGTGAAGTTTTGTTGATATAAAAATCCATATGAAAGAAGTGTAGGTTAAAAAAAAATTTTTTTGCAAAAAAATATGCTTTGGACCAGCCCACATTGCTCGCGCTTTGGCTAAGCAGCATGCCGGTCGCCCGCTCATCAGTCGCGCATTGCTCCCACAATAACTAAATGGCGGTGGGCATGGCGTATGCCGTACACACATACGTAATACATATCTAGCTATAAGCTCTAGGTTTAATTTCTTTATAGGGTGTCGAAGCTTCGGTTTCCAGCTTGTATGCACTACAGCTAAGGTGACACTATACGCAGTAAAATTTTTTATG